TTTTTTTTTTTTTGTCAGAAAAAAGATTAACTGCATTCTTCATAGAGGAGATGGGTCTTGTTAAAAACTCGCTTAAAATGGGGAAGGCTAAAATCTTATATTCAAAACTATAAGCATAAATTGTGACTGTCTGTCACCTTTGGTTATATTCTCTCTTCATAAGGCAAAGAGCTCTCTTTAATGGCTTTCTATGCCATTAAATACAAGCATTAATTAAGGAAAGAACAGACTTAAGTTTTAAGGTTTTGTTATAGAAAATGTAACAAAAGATTTTCATGTAGAAATATCTACTCTAATACTCAGTTGTGATAAATACCAAAAGCAGGATTAAATATAATCCAGCAGGCCTAATGTACATAGTTTAACAAAGAAATCAATCACCTTACTGCTCAGACATTAACATAAGAAGTCAAAACTGGTGGACTAAAATATTATCTAAGGCATGCCAATTTGACAATAATGCAAAGAGATGCAGTTTAGTTACAAATTTAATCACAGTCCATGGACTTCCCTTCATTCATTATTATATAGATAAGGAATAGAGTGCAACTTGTAAATTAAATGTTTTACTTACTGAAACCACATGTCAATTTTATTTACTGACTTAAGGGGAAAATTAAAAAACACTTTGATATACATTTGAATAATTAAATATTTTAAAAGTTAAAATTATGGGGATTTGGGCTGGGAATTTAGCTCAGTGGTGCCACACCTTCTGGCAAGCGCAAGGTCCTGAGTTTGATTCCCAGTACAACAACAACAAAAAAATTAGACTGTTCTAGTAGTTCAAAACAGAGTTTTATTAAATAAACTTAAAGGCTAAAGTGCTTATTGTAGCACTGGCATAAAAATATTAAGTAGGTCTGAAATTCATCTGTATGTCTAAGACATGTGAGTTTTTAAGATCACATTACTTTTTTTTCAAAGGTTTATGCATGTTTTCCCAAATCCCTGTCCATTACTGAGCCACACAGGATTGTAAGTTATTGCTCAAAGACACTAAAAAAAGTATTATAAAACTCTGCCATTACAATGGCTAGAATTTTTTAAAGATAAAATGGTAACATATTAAAAGAATATAGGAAAAATTTAAATGTGCCAATATGCAAAATCTACAGATAACTAAATCACAATTTAAACTGCAGGATGTATACATATACTTTAAATGTATGTTAAAAAAAAAAGAGGAGGGGGGGAGATGGAAACAGGATTTTTAAAAAGGAATTGTGATGTGTTGTACATGTATCAAGTCCCTGTGAGGAATGTGATCATTATGTACTACAGACATGTACCCCCCAAAAAGGAAGAGAAAAAAACAAACAGGAGAGGGGGTCTAAGATATGGAGAAAAGGAAGGAGAAGGGAGGAAGAGGGGAAATGCCTGTTACTATTCTTCTTGGCAACAAAGCCCTAAAAAGTAAGCTGTCATCCAAAGTAAGCTTTGGAATAGCAGAACTCTCACCTCACCTATATCTGTTATACTTAGATTGTTTTTTAAAAATCACCATCACAAATGAAGATCTCAAGAGAATTATATTCAGGATACTAACAGCCAATATCCAAATCTCTCATTATATTCTTACCAACTGATTACAAATAAAATGTTTTATTTATTCAGTATTACCTAGTAAAGGAAAATTATTATAATTTTATTCTGAAAGCTCTTTATTCCATTACTAGAGTTTTATTAAAGTAGTGTCATAGCATCAGAATAACTACTATGCCTGTTGAGTTCTGACACAGTGCTGACCTCTGATCAAGGAATGATATATATCTGAAAACTTCTAATAACAATTTTTACAATAAAGTTTTGGAGTAACAGGAACCAGCACCTTAGAGAAGAAATGCAAGAAATAAACTGAGGATGGTGGAACTTGACAAAGGTTTCAGGAGTGTACAAAATTATGAGATGGAGTCAAAGGGAGAGATAAGGGTCCTAGAGACGATAAATAGTTGAGGACCATGAAAAGAATGCTGACTATATGGTATTATTCAGAAGCTCAGTGGATCATAGCAAAGAAAAAAAATGAAACCTCTTACTAAAATACATAATTTCCAACAAAGAGAGTTATTTAAGATCTGTGAAGTTCAGTGTTGTAGTATTTTTCCTTCTTGGCAAATTTCAACTAAGGTTATAGTTCACAGTGAATATTTAATTCTTCTATTTATCTTCACTTCTATCTACCTTATCCAAGGGGTACTGCACAAGTCTAATAATGAAGTTAAATTATTTTTTAAGATAGATGATAAATGGTGCTCTAAATTATAGGTAGCCTTATTTGTAAGTCAATCAAACAGAAAAGTATAATCACAGATAAGGCAGATGGTCCAACAGTCCTAATATTGGATGGTAGAGAACATAAAAAGGCAAATTAGAAGGTAGAACACAATATTTTTCTTGAAAGCCTAGAATTTTAGTAACAAGTGTAAAAAATGGTATAATTCAGATGGCTAAGAGACTTTTACATTAAAAGGGTTTGCTGGACAGAAAAAAATAAGTGGTTAAGTGAGATGGGTAAAAAGAAACTACAACCAATATCAAGTATTTTGCTGTGATGTAAGAGATAACATGAAACTAATGCTCTGAGAATGATATGAATCAAAACCAGGAATGTGAATGTTAGAGGATAAGAGATTTGAGAGGGTGGGAATTTGGTACAGGTTTAGAGAACAGGCATAATGATTTGAAAGATCCAGGTCTTAACTGTAGCTTTTCACTATTGTTTTCCATTTTACTTTGGGGGCATGTGGCCAGACCTGGTTTGTTAGGATTCCCCTAAATCAGGCCCCTTGCTCTCTAGCCTGTCTCCAATAACATCATCACAGATTCAGCATGATTTGTAAAGGCTGAATTTTGTATGTGTGTTTTGTGGTGGAAAGGGTAGCAAAAACAGAGAATTCTAAGATGTCAGAGGATGATGAAAAAAAAAAAACAATGGTTTGAGATAGGTGATTAGGTCTGGGGGAAACCAGTCAAACAGCTGGGTGGAATGTGTCAAAGTCATACAGACTCAGGGGACATGTACAGAACATAGGATTCAGTATGACTGCAACTCCTGAGACTATACATAAACCAAACCAGAAAAGTGCTATTTTCATTTCTTCATTCACATTTGGTTGGAAGCCAAGTCTTTCTACAGGGTAGTTTAAGTCTGAAATTGGGCCAAGTGGGTTTTGATAGGACAATCATCCCAATGCCTTATTTCCATGAGGGAGAAGTCAATCCAGGAATTTGACATACAAAAGACCCCTCTCCTCAGGGCCATTGTGAGTCTGTCTACCAGCCCTTCTCATTCTGCAGAGTGTACTTCTTTTCCATCTTCATTAAATGTACATGTCCCACCTGTTCTGTGTTTTGTCCAATTCTTTGTTTGGGACCACCAAGAACCTGGAAAGAATTGTCCCAAGATCTACTGTCTGGTAACAGTATCACAAATTATTACTTTTTAATTGAGAAGGGTACAATGTTGAAGCTAATATATGTTACGCCTTAGACAGTAGTAAAATGTAAAAAATTTTTCTGTCTAATTGACTTACATTTGTAATAAGTAAGATCATTGGTTCTCCAAATATAGTGCCTAGAGCAGTAGCATAATAGCATATGGAATGTCAGAAATAAAATGATTGGGCATCTGAATCAGAAACATCTGAGGGTGGGGACCCAGCAATCTGTGTTCAGCAAACCCTGCTCTGATGCACACTAAAGTTTATGAACAGTGGATTAGAAAAACCTATGAATACCACCTGCAGAGCTGATCACTAAGAGGATAAAAGCAATCAGACTTATGATACAGGAGTATTAATAGTGAAAGAGAAAATCCACTTGTGGAGGTTCCTCTGCAAAGTGGAATAACATAGAGGTATTGATGCAAGACTAGTCCAAACAAAAAGGCATTAAAATAAGAATTTTAGCCAGGCAAGATGCCACAGTCTATCATCCTAGCACTTGTAGGCTGAGACAGGAGGATAGTAAATTTTTTCCCAAAAATACTTTTATTTAATAGATAGAAAAATAATGTATAGAAAGAAAAGGAGGAGGTGCTGTTGGGTTTCATTCATGTCCCTTTCTCTACCCCAGCTCTTCTATAGAAAATTTGAGGCTAGCCTGGGCTATATAGAAAGACTTTGTCGAATCAATGAATGAATGACAAATAAGAAAGAATCTTAAAACTATTGAGGCATTTGTCTTTGAAAAGGCCTCAAAGAAAAAGGTAATTTTTAGGAAGAAAATTGCAAAAGACTCAGATTCTCATGAAAGAAAGCAAAGATGAGGAAAATGAGAAATGAAGGAGAATATAAAGGTAGAAGAACATAAAATACTGAAGAAAGAATTCTGAGATGTAAATTTAATTACAAGTACAAGAAGATGCTCTGAGAGTGAAGGAGTCAAAGAAAATTAATCAGATCATACCCAAAGGTGAAACCAAGAAAAGACAATTTCACATTCCTAACTATATGTTAAAATGTTGACTTAACATCTTCGAATCAAGGCTGAATACCAAGAATACAAACTTCTGTTTAAATATTTTTTCCAGATTGTTAACCCCAAACAATACAGAACAACAATTACTTC